TCTGTAACTTTGTGTGGTATTTTTGTAAATTTTAGAAGAAAAAACGTCTCTTTCATACTTTCTATGGTTTTCGATTTGGCCACCGTTTAATTCCAATTTCAGTAAATTGCCGTGGTTTTGGGTGAATTTTTCATTTTACTCCTTAACGTGTTTTTCCACATAACTTGGGTATATTCCTCCATTAAAATAATACAAAATATTCCCTTAATTCACGCGTGTCGGCTATTAAGCCAACGTCCACGTCGAGGTCAGACCTTCCTCTTTCTTCCAAATTCTTCTTTCTCCTTTCTTTCGCGTCTTTTTCTCCAGGTTTGTATTCTTCCATTTTTTTGGATGTTTTACCTGTTACGTGGTTCTTCTTCTCTTAAGTTATGATGTTCTCTGTTGGGTTTTTCTTTTTCCTCGGTCTTTTGTCTTTTCTTTCTATTGTGTTGCTCTCATTGCCTACCTCCGACAAATCGGAGATCTTATGGAAGCAACTCAAATGACACCACAAGAAGGATTTACCATGGAAGAAAACTCTCATATCACCATCACCATAGAAGCTGACAGCCCCATTTCGAAAATACTCAAGACTATCCTTCAAGACGCCTGAGTCGAAGATCAATCCATGGAGGAGAACATCTCTTTTATGGTTGGATCAATCCATAAAAGGTTTGCAAGTATAAACGTATAATGAATGATGCTACCGACAAGTAAATGTCGACGTTATATTTGCGTTGTTCTTATTTTTTTCCCAGGGAAACCATGTCCAATATCAATATATAAATAAATACAATATCAGTCATATTGTCTTTTACTTACTCCGCTATAGTTTATAGCAATAACTACTAAAACCACACCAAAGTAACAATAAATGAAACACAAAAGCTAACGTATACAATTATGTATGTAACCTACAACATACAACCACACTTAATCACTTATAACATCTAACTTCATGAAAAAAAAGTAAAAGAAAACACAAAAATAAAAGCAACTCCAACAAATATAAACCAAAGAATGTACAGTTTTGTAGTGTAGTTTTCCTGCATCTTTTGAGTTATACTGTGCATGTAGACCCCATACCGGAAATGAACGTATGTACAGCCCCTTCCCGGTTTTTATCAACATTTAACCAATACTCGTCCAATCCAGCGCCAAGGGCGCCACCGATTCCTGGTAGTTAATAGGATAGTATAATGTTTATCCTCGTCTTTGACATATGATTTGGTTTTTTGAACACATCTTCGTTTTGGAGATTTTTTTAAAACACATCATTAGATTTTTTTTAATATATATTTTTTAAATCATTATTGTGTTCATTCTTAACAAATAAAAACCCTTCACCAGACCCGTAATTAACAGGACATACTTATCGGGTACACAAAAACCCGACCCTTAACTGTTTGGCTTCCAACGATGGCCTTCCTTCAATGATTGATCCGGCGTTTACTTTTTTTTCTTATGAGGCCATTTAGTTTTATAGCCACATGATTGAACACTTATTTCTTTCATTTATTTTTTGTTACACAAAGCATCGACAAAAGAAAATGATGATATCTCTTATGGTTTTCTTTTTCAATTTATATGGACTCAGTGACTTTACATGTATTGTTATGATTTCTCTTTAAAATATTCGTATTGTTGATGAAAAGCAATAATCTAAATAAATAATAATAACACCACTCAGTTTTCATAATTATATACATATTAATTCTCATCCAGTTGGTGAACAGTAACTTTTTATGGTTTTCGATTTGGCCACCGTTTAATTCCAATTTCAGTAAATTGCCGTGGTTTTGGGTTTTATTACAAATTCACATGGAAATTTTATCACACAAACACTCGAAGATCTTCTTGTTATTGAACTTTTTTATATGATGCCTATATTTTTGCAATTTTTATCCCAAAAAGTTGCATCTTTTTAATTTTCTTTCTGATTTTAAAGTATCCTAACAATTTCACTCTAGTAACCTTCATCCTCTTCCTCGTTTCCACCTACATCTCCAATAAACCACACCTTCACCCGAACTTGTGATCTCCTATATACAATTAGGAAAAACGTGCATTTGACTCCCCACCTACCGGTGTATTGTTAAGTACTGGGGTTATCTGCAGGGGTATTGATTTAATGAAGCTTCGATTATAAATGGTATCATAAATTGATGTGATTCTGCCAAGAGCATACACTCTCTAAGTCACCTTTTGTGTCCTTTGCTAACAGATCATTTATTATGCTTACTTCTGTTGACTCACCCTTCCCGAGAGCATCTTCCAAGTTGTTAAATAGCCGGTAATGCCAAAGATTGATATACACAAACATCACCAACTTAGGCTGTTAGGCAAATTTTTTTGGAAACGGCAAATAGATTAAAATAAAAGCAACATGATCAGCAAGAAGCTAAAACATGTTCAAAATACAATGAGGGAAGTACAAGTACAACAGATTTTAGCAGAAAGGAGATATATTCCAATCAATCCACCTAGCCTTAACGCCTTGAGTTCGGTACTTGAACAATGTGTGTGTTTGAGATATCACCTCATCCACGATTTTTGCAGGGGTCGCACGAATGTGTTTGAACGCCATATTATTTCTTGCCACCCATATGAACCATAATAGTCCATAAACAACCGTACTCAGCCTTTCCTTCTTTTTTGGACAGCTACCCCAATTAGCCGCAAAGTTAACAAAGTCAGTGACATTATTGAATTGAGTAGCAGTGATTCCACACCAGTTCAGGATCGAAATACGAGCCTCCGTCGCAACTGAGCAATTGATTAAGAGATGATCCCCAGATTCCTTTTCCGTGTTGCATAGTGGACAAACATCTGATTATAACTTAAAACCCCTGATCACTAGATTTGTTGCTACCGGGATTCTATCTAGAAGAGCTCTCCATATAAAACACATGATCTTTAGTGGAACCGTTTTGGACCAATTTATTCGAACATTTGTTTGGGGATTGGTAGTCTTTGAATCTAGTACTTTTCGAAGAGAGCATACTGTGTATTTACCATCCGCGTTCCAGTTGAAACGAAAACCGTTCACGACTGGTTGAGTGTTAACATCACTTAGAATCGAACATAGACGTATGAAGTCGGTGGTAGCATCATCTTCCATTTGCTGAATTTTCCATCACCAATTAAAACCACCAGTCTTGATTCTCTCATTAATTGTACATAGCTTTTTCTTTTCTAACTCATATAAACGCGGGAATCTTTCCTGTAATGTGAGAGTTCCACACCACCGATCCTTCCAGAATAAGAAGGACGTGTTTGATGCTGGAATCATGGTGAACATGTCATGGTAGCTGACATCAAATTCAAGCCCATAATATCTATTTCTTCCCTTATTCATTTACCTTGATCATCTTTTTTCACTATACTTCTATTCTAAATTTTGTAGAGGTTTCTAGACAACCACCTGGGCCCTTTCCCCTTATATCCCATAAGGCCACGCCCCCTTGACACCCCCCACCTCCACCCCCTTTATTCGTTGTGTTTAGGATCAAACTCGTCTTATACAAAGTGTGCACTTCGCATATCTAAATTGTATTAGATTACAATTTGAATATGCATTGGTATTCATGTTAATTTCAATACATTAAATAGACAAATAACACTAAAATCACCAATATATGTAAATATTATACAATTGTATAACTCTTTTTTCTTAATAGTACAAATTATATATAGATTTTTTATAAGAATATATAAGAACAAATATATAATTAATGTTGAGTTATGGAGCCCAATCTTAGGATGAAGTTGCTAGAGCTTCGACCGAGAGCAATGCTTTGAGGTGAAGTTGATAGAGCAAAAAACGTTTTGCGAAGTTGTTGAGTGGACGAAGCTTAGAACGATGATCAAAAGCACAGTTAGATAGAAGTAGAGATCTAGATGAAGTTAAGAAGCGTAGTTGATGACTTGGCAGGGAAGCCAATCACCGAAGCGCAACATGTGGAGTGCAGAGCTCATCACTTGAGCTTCGCCTTCGGTGAGCGAAAGCAATCCCGAACTTGGAACTTCATATTGACCTAGTAACTTGGGGACCAAGTCTACCATGTATGATTATATTGGTGATGTCATAGGTCCATGAGCCTCAACCAAAAGATTTTAAGTCAAACATTTATTGTTAATAGATTTTTTTGTATGATTGTAATCCTAATAGACAAAAAGATTTGTATCATTGAGTATCAATAAAATTTCTTTATATTTTGTCTCGAAATGTAGCTTGATTACTCTAACATCTTATATTTAGTTTGTGTTCATAAATAACAAGACTTTTCACTCATCTAGTTGATTTCGCAACTATTTGACACCCTAGTTTCCTATTTCCTATTTGTGCAAACGCTCATTCCATCTCATTTCTCTCTCCATCCAGAAGAAAGTGTATTCGTAAATCAACAATTGAACCCAACGAGTACTTGCTAAAATAGGGAATCCCAAGTATTCAAATGGTAGCATGTTTACCAAGAAAGAGGGCTGATTTGGTCATCTTGATGGAAATTTATGAGACTTTATTTTTACTGACAAGTAAAATATAAAGAGGAGAATGTGGTACGTGGTTGCACATGCACCACTTTCTATTGGCAAATTGTCAAAACCAAATAAATAAACAACATTTTTACTTTTCTTCACATTTGGTCTTTAGTCTTAGTGGTAGCCATAATTCATACGCTCATGTCTTGCGTGCTACTTTATTATTCCTTTATTATTTATTAATATCAGTTTAAATGATTGCATCATAATACTACTTAAAACCTTAAGAAAATAAATACAAACTTTGTTTAGACCAAAAAATTAAGCAATGGCATTGTCAGGACGTTGATTTTTTTTTCTTTTTATAAAGTTTTGTATGTGAAGAAGTTAAAGAAGCCTAGTTGACGACTTGATATTGAACTAGGTGAGTGTCTGTGCATTTCACACAATTAACATTAGTACTTAGAATTTTAAGAAATCAAGTCTATAGTGAGAGAAGAATAAGCGAGTGGAAAGAGGTGTGGCGGAGGTTGTCAATGGCGACAAAGGGCGGCGGTAATTTCGACGACCCTTCAATCCCTTCCTTTTATGTCTACAACCTTGTGGATGATACTAGTAGGAAGGAGCTTTGGGGGCCATGCGCTAAATTTGGTAGTCTGGTTGATGTATACATAGGAGGAAGGCAGGATGCTTCGGGTTCGTTTTTTTGCCTTCATTTGATATGAAAATGCAAAGGAGTCGGAGTATATTGAGAAAGAGCTGAAAGGGATCATTCTTCGTGGCGGGAAGTTGGCTGCAAACTTTGCCAAGCATCCCCGAAAACTCCTTGTTGCGGCTGCCGTTAGAAGGCCGATGGCATATAAACATCCATCTGCTCCTCATGGAGTGCGTATGCAAGGAAATGTTAGGGACTCTAGGTCCTTTGTCGACGTTGCCAGAGGTAATGTAGTGGTGGTCAAGAAGGGAGTCTCTCTCTCTCTCTCTCTCTCTCTCTCTCTCTCTCTCTCTCTCTCTCTCTCTCTCTCTCTCTCTCTCTCTCTCCAATCAACATATCATGCATTCAAGAGGTCAAAGATTGGGCAAGCAACTCAACCTTGGTTGGGGAGATCAAAAACTTCAACATTTTATTTAATTTTCCATCCTTGTTTGCCATGGAGGGTTTCAACATCGTGGAAATAAAATATCTTGGAGGTATGCAGGTTATTGTCAAGTTCGAAAACGATAGGGCGGCGAATGTCTTCATGGAGAACAAGGTCATATGAATTAAATGGTTCTCATGGGTTGAGCACATTGGAAAGCGGTGTGCCATATTTGAAAGTATTGTCTGGATCAAGATTGTAGGGATCCCACTCTTTACATGGGACGGATCAAACATTGAAGTCATTGTTGGGACTTTTGGGAAGGTGTTGGTTAACGTTAGCCCTTCTGGATAGTAATGATGTCTCCCAGGGGAAAATTTGTGTTCTTACTGCTTCAAAAAAAACTGAACGAAGAAGTCATGGTTTCTTTGGATGGAATTCTTCATAAAGTTGTTGTGTTCGAGGTTGATGACGAATGGTTCCCCTTCACGCAGATCAATTCAGGCTCTTCGAGTGATTTAGGAGAAGAATGTGGAGAGGATGAAGGTGTCTTAGATATGTGATATCAGGACGGTATGGACTTGGAAGAATGTGATATTGACCCAGATGGTGAACTCGGCCATAATATTCTTAAAAGACGGAAAGAGGGCGAGGAAGTGTCGTCGTCGGATCGTGGTTTAATAGCTACGATTCCGATGATGGTGACAAAGGAGGTTGTGAAACCATTTCATGATGAAGTCGAAGGGACGCTTGGTGAGATGAACCTTCATGCACAAGGAATTTTTGCGGTTGCAGGTTTCGAGACAAATAATGTTCTGGAAATTAATGCTCATGGTTCTAGTAATTGGGGCCATTTTGACTATCTCTCTCCTGTTGGGTTTTTATTAAAAAATTTGGTTTCACAAACGGTAAAAATGGCAACAGAAGCTTTAAAATTGTTGAATAAACTAAAACCATTTTAACCTACCAAGGATCTTTTGCAAGACTTAAAAGATTAAAACAACCATAGAAAGGAAAGCAAAACATCCTTTAAAGACTTTGGTTCCTTTTGGCAATTAGGAAGTTGATGAAGATGGCTTTAAGCTCCAATGAAGAAGCCCTCTAGAAGTATCCACCAACATTTAGCCAACTTGATAAGATGCTAGCCTTCTTCTTGTAATAATAATACTCTTAAGCCTTTAAGAACAAAACAAGGCTCTTGTTTTAAAGGAGAGTTTAAGTAAAGTATCAATTTTTTCCTACTTTGATCTTAACGCTTTAAGAGACAAAACCTAAGAAAATATGGAGATAGTAAGACATAAATTTCGTGGTTTTTGACTAGTGAAAGAAGGGAGAAAACTAGCTCTTTTAAATCCTTACTTTAAGCATTTATCCCATGGGTATTATCACTTTAAGACCCATGATTTATCATTATGTCACGACACACTTTAGAAGTATGTTCCTTACGTTATAATAATAAATAGCCTTCTCCTTGTCCCCATGCATGCAACCTAAGGTTTTATATATATAAAAGGAAGGATTTTTATAAAAAAAATCTCTCATGCTTTTATAATTATAAACCCTTATCCAATTAGCTAAAAGACAAAAAGTCTTTCTAGTCCAAAAAGATGTACATGACTTACTAAACCATAACATATGATATATTATGATACTTAACATTAAAAAATACTATTTCCATGAAATAAGTAATTTCCAATTAATTACAAGATTTATATTTATTTATCAAGAATCAATTTCCTATGAATAATATATTTGCATCAAGTTGTTGTTATTGTGACCCTTTAGGATCATATATTATCTAACAATATCATTCTATAATGACTCTTGGGCATAAAGATATTTCAATCTCCCACTTTCACAAAATTCATCATAGATTAATATAGTCAGTGGTGAATGTCTAGCAACATTTCACTGCCCCCAGTAATATATGACTTAGTGCCATTCTATAAACATCCAATTCCTAAAAGCTGAAAGCCTCAATTTATGTACAATGTAAGTTTATCAGTTATCCCTTTGTTATAGACATCTAGTTGAACATGAGACTTGGATCGAAATCAATCTCATTTGGTGTTCAACTTTGGATAATACACGTTAGATGTCTAACTCTCAACACATAAGACGAACAAATCTCATCTTGACTACATAATCCTCTTGCATAGTTCACACCACACATGACAATGGATTTTATAACTGCCCGGTTAAGGATCAACATTTGACCATATCTAAGCATAACACTCCATACACTTAAGTCCCACTATGTATCTCAGGTGTTAAGGATACAAAGATAGTACCTTTTAATCAAGTATCACTCATAATTAAGATCTATAAGTTGATCTTGATGCGAGTCTGTTCAGTACCAGTTCTCTGATAAGTACCTATGAAACTTGGTTAAAATCACTTTCCTACTTTCATTTGGAGAGAGTCAACCAATCCAATTCATATTAGTCTTACATTATAATGTCTCCCATAATTATAACCGACTATGAACTTTTAGAATAATAAGATTATTCAGGGATTAACATGTTAATATAGAACACAACAAGTATTGATGTGATGATCATATCCCAATATATCAAAACAATATAATAGTTGTTGTCTTCATGTTCAAATATCTAAATACTAAATTTAAATCAAAATCTCATTTCTAGAATAATGAAGTCCTATAGCTGAAGTGTAACCACTCATACTTAGCTTAAAAGGAAAGGACTTTATTAATGGGTTCGATTAAATTTTATTTGTGTGAATTCTGTGAATATTATCATCTCCGTATTTGACTTTACTCTAGGTATAGTTAAATATATTTAAGAATATGATTGTTGTTCTTTCGTGACATAGAGTCTCTTTACTTGATTAAGTATGCTCTCGAAGTCATAAATATTTCTATGTGATCCTTGAATGGCAAATCAATATAGTTTTTCAATGAACTCATTCATCCAATCATATTTGATTTCAACTTCTAAAGTAGCAGTGTATTCTTATTTAGTAGATTGTGCAATTTTGTTTTGCTTGGACCTTATTCCTACACAACTTATTCTTCATTCCATAATGAAGTTATAATCCAATTATAAGTCATAATTATAAATATCAGTTTTGAAGTCAGCATTTTATGTAGCTCCTTACATAAAGATCTTCTTCTAAAATGATTATCTCAGGTACATTATCGTAGTTCTTCTTAAGTACTTTTAGAATGTTCTCAAAGTCATCCAGTGACTTAACCATGTATTCAATTTGTATATTATGATATGTTTATAGCATAATCATATACCTAATCTTGTACATAATAT